GTATCCAATGGTTTGCAGTATCTGTTTGATGTACTGTTTCTCCCTATAGCGCTTCATATTATAGTTTGCAATGAGCCCCGTCTGCGAAACGGGAGGCATTATGTCATGTCTTTGATTTGACTGTGCTTTGTGGCTGTATATGCTTTATATGCTGTCTTGACTATTCTTATATTAATAAAATATTTTTGGGAAAAAAAAAATTGAAAGTGTTATTAGTCTCCTATTATATGGTTTTTGATAAATCTAAATCTCAAGAAAATTGTATAATATATGGCCAGCCTTACCTGAAATTGAAGCAAACTCATTAAAAGATTTCAATGACTAAGCTCAGGTGAGAGATAGACATTTAAACACTTGTTGGCAGTCATCTATTTTGCAGCAGACTAGAATCAATGTGCTACTAATAAAATGATTATAAGAAGTGATTAAATATCTCAGGATCAAAGAGATTTAATCAACTGTGTAGCCCTAGCTTTACAGTGTAACTACCGTGCAATCATTTTTGAAGTAGAAATATACAGTTTGAGGCATTCTGATAAAATATACAAAGTGAAGCAAATTTACCTTTATATTTGGGCATCCTTCTGTGCAAGGCATATACTATATAATGTACTGTACATGCAGTGTGCATTGCATGGATCAGAATCAGGGAAATACATATCTTTTTCAAAAGCTGAACATGTCAATTAAACTGATTGGGCTGAATACCATCTACTTAAATTGGAAAAAAAATTGATCACACAAGCACATCTACCATTTGTGTAATTTGATTGTAGGTAAAATTACTGTCAGCAGAATGTCAGTAGGCTTTGGGAATAATGAACAGCAATGAGGTTTTTGGCCTGCTCTGCAAGAAACTGTTCTGAGCATCTCCTGGATGGAATGTTGTAATAAAGGCAGTAAATAGGTCAAAAAGGAGCCACATCAAGCTGTAATATCCTAAAGCAGAACTCCAGACAAACAAACAAGATACAATGAACAGTCCTTTAAAAGATAAATAACAAACCAGCACTTGCTGCAATATTCAGCTTTAATCCAGAGTTTTTATCTACAGTCATGTTTGCCTTTGCCATGACACATATCTCGTGTTTGAACACAACCCAAAACTTCTGACATCGGCATGATGAAGATAGGCTGAGTGTACAGGGCAACAAATGGTACCATGAAACTAAATATACATCTTATGCAGGTGAAAAACACAAGGTGCAGGTATATAATGCTTTTGATTCAATCACTGCCATCCGAACTTACACTAACATTTTAGCTAGACCAACTGTCACATCTTTTCTGTTTTAAATGAGATCTAAATTCATAGCATACATTTTCATTTTATAACATCAGCCTTATAGCATCAATATAAACAATAGTTAAACAATAGTTATTTTTGACAATCCAATATAAGCATGTAGTCATTGGTTGTTAGGTCACCAGAGAATAGAATATTGTAATGGTGCACATTGAAAACCCTTGGCTTTGTGCAACTAAAAGGCAGGTTTGATCAACCTGCTGGCTTGTATATGATTTTTGGGCAATTTTTAGGCATTTTGCCAAGGCACCCCTGAAGAAACCTGAAGGCACCTCAAGGGTGCCTGGGCACCCTTGTTGAAAAAGGCTGCTGTAAGTAAAGTAAGTTGAACATTAAGATAATAGAAGTAGGCTAGATATATTTGAAATACGATGTGAAAATAAATATTGTTTTTTATTTTGGCCATAGACACAGTATAAGAGTGCCCCAGGTCTTTTGAAATCCTAGCAACACCCATGCACGCATGAATATCATCCAAAGATTTATTTATATTTCAACTGCTCTTTATATTTTGTTTTACATTTCAGAAAAATAATTGGATTAGCCCTGCTGTGAAAAAGAATTTTAAAAAGTATTTGAAATAACAGTGTGAGTTGGACTCATCCTGCCAGTGTTCCACATCTGAAAAACCTAACAGAGAGAAAAATAATATATTTCATGGAGTTAGCCTCGTGAATGAAAACAAGGAACACAAAATGATTTTACTGTGCAATAACAGTTGTAGTAAGTTTTCAATCTCATGACTGAAATATATTAAATTACCCTTAAGAGACATACTGTTTTTAGGATTGCTTTTCTTATGAATTGTCCCTTTGTACACATCAGAAAACCATGCAACAATAACTGCTCATTTTGTCTCACATGCTCGCTTTGACTGAAAATGTACTGTCTTGTCTTTGGTTTCTACTGTGCAGAGAATCAGTCCTAAAAACCATAAAATAGCACGGCTGAGAAACGCAGACCCTGGAATTCATAAAGAGTGTCGTGACCCTCTTTAGTATTCCATCGCACCTCCGTACCAAAAATGTTAGTGCTTGTGACATATAGAAGTTGGGATCAGGTTAATGAATCTGTTGCATGGAGTTGGGTCCTAAGCCTGGAGTGTCTATACAGGAAACGCTGTCCTTAGTGTAGCTCAAGAACACTAAGCCTGAGAAAATTACAGTTCTGTCATAAACAACCTCCCTCCCAAGCCACTATACCCATCACATAGGCATAAGCATGGCTGAGGAGTTTTATTGTTTGGTGGACCAAGGCCATTGGGGAACTTTGAGACTAGTTATGCATCAGGTCCACCTCCTGAGTGATTGACAGCTGAAGACAGTGTGTATTCCATAACTGCTACTCAGCCCAATAACAGCAATAGAATTCATCCTCTGATATCTGCTGTCAGTCACGCAGAAGGCAGACCTGATGGGGAAACCAGTTTTAGAGCGTTTTACATGGCTCTGCTCACCCAACAACTCAATTCCTATATTATTGTCATTCACAAGCTTGAGCTTGGAAAAAGCCGTATGTAAATGGATAGAAAGCTGGCTACAAGATCATATTCAGAGAGTAGTGGTTAATTATTCATACTCTGAATGGTCTAGGGTTGTCAGTGATGTACCCCAAGGTTCAGTGTTGGGACTCTTATGTTTTTATATATTTATAAATGATATAGGGTCTGGGATTAAAAATACCATTTCGGTCTTTGTAGATGACACCAAGCTGTGCAGTAGAATAACGTCCTTACAGGATGTCTTCAATTTACAAGCTGACCTCAATGCACTGTTTAATTGGCAACTAAATGGCAAATGAGGTTTAATGTTGATAAATGTAAGGTTATGCACTTGGGGGCTAATCATACATACTAGTGGAGGTACAATTGGGGGAATCAAGGGTGGAGAAGGATCTGGGGGTTCTGGTAGATCACAAGCTTAATAAAGACATGCAATGCCAAGCTGTGGTTTCTAAAGCAAGCAAAATCCTCTCTTGTATTAAAAGAGGTATAGACTCCAGAGAGAGAGAGATATCATATTACCCCTGTACAAATCATTAGGAACACCTCATCTGGAATATGCAGTTTAGTTTTGGGCACCAATTCACAAAAAGAACATTGGGGAACTGGAGAAAGGACAGAGAAGGGCAACCAAACTGATAAGAGGTGTGGAGGAGCTCAGCTATGAGGAAAGATTAGAGGAACTGAATGTATTCTCTCTTGAGAAGAGGAGATTAAGGCGGGATATGATCCACATGTATAAATATATCAGTGGTTCATATAGTGAACAAGATGTAGAGTTATATTCACCCTGAGGTCATCATAGAGGACAAGGGGGCACTCTTTACGTCTGGAGGAAAAGAAATTTAATCTCCAAACATGGAAAGATTTCTTTACAGTGAGAGCTGTGAAAATGTGGAATAGACTCCCTCAGGAGTTGGTTCTGGCCAGCTCAGTGGATTGCTTTAAAAAAGGCCTGGATTCTTTCTTGGATACACAGAATATAACTGGATACTAACATTTATAGGTAAAGTTGATCCAGGGAATATCCGATTGCCTCTCGGGGGATCAGGAAGGAATTTTTTTCCCTGCAGGAACAAATTGGATCATGCTTTGCTGGGGGGTTTTTGCCTTCCTTTGGATCAACTGTGGGTGTAGGATTATAACTTTTTTTTTTTTTGTAATGGTTGAACTGGATGGAATTTTCCCTTTTTGCAGCCAGACTAACTATGTAACTATGTAACAAGTAGAAACATACGGCACGATTTCCTACACATAATTACTTGTTTTATTTGGACATTTGCATGTAGGTGGTAGACTTCTATCAGGATTTATATTTATTGACTTATCAATCTATATGTTTTTGTTTTTTGTGTCACTTTGGAATAGTGGTGTCTTCCTCTGCATTTTTATTTTTTTCAATTTTATTTGGATTTATGATCCATCTAATTTTGACACATCTAATTTTATAAAACAGCACAACATTTGTATTTTTTAAAATTCGGTTTAGATTTAGATATTTGTTTAACCAGCTTCCGCCTGCCATATAAGGTAATGACGGGCGCAAGGTGGTTCTCTTGTTCTGGGAGGACATCATATGATGTCCTCCCACTCTAATCGTGCATGCGGGGCACTGGGAGCGCGCAGCGATAAGCGGTGCACTGTGTCCCTCGGACATAGCGGATCAACGGAAAGAGCCAAAGATGTCGGCTCGGTCATGTGATCAGCTGTGTCCAATCACAGCTGTTCGCATGTAAATAGGAAAATGCTGGTTATCGGCATTTCTCTCCTTACGAGCTGTCACGCTGACAGCTCGAAAGGAGAGGAGAGCTGGTAATCGGTATTCCTTGAAGGGGACATGTACACTGATCATCAGGGCACTGATGATCATTGTGCCCTGATGATCAGTGTAGCCCCAGCAGTGCCACCTGTCAGTGTCCATCAATGCCAGCTGTCAGTGCTCATCAGTGCCACCTGCCAGTGCCCATCAGTGTCACATCAATGCCACATATCAGTGCCTACCAGTGCACATCAATGCCACATATCAGTGCCCATCTGAGCTGCCTCTCAGTGCCAGTCAGTGCCACCTATCAATGCCTCTCAGTGCCACCTATCAGTACCAGTCAGTGCCGCCTATCAGTGCTCGTCAGTGCTGCCTATCAGTGCTCGTCAGTGCTGCCTATCAGTGCCACCCAACAGTGCCAGTCAGTGCTGCTTATCAGTGCCAGTCAGTGCCACCTACCAGTGCTGCCTATCAGTGCCATATATGAGTGCTGCCTTTCAGTGCCCATCAGTGATGCCTGTCAATGCCCATCAGTGCCACCTACCAGTGCCTCCTCATCAGTGCCCATCAGTGCCACCTATCACTGCCCATCAGTGCAGCCTATCAGTGCCCATCACTGCAGCCTCATTAACGCACATCAGTGAAGGAAAAAAATCACTTATTTACAAAATTTTAAAACAAAAACTAAGAAAAAACTTATTTTTTTCAAAATTTTCAGTTGTTTTTGGTTTGTTTAGCATTCAATAAAAAACCCCAGAGGTGATTAAATACCACCAAAATAAAGCTCTATCTGTCACAAAAAATGATAAAAATTTCATATGGGTACAGTGTTGCATAACCGCGCAATTGTCATTCAAAGTGTGACAGCGCTGAAAGCTGAAAATTGGCCTGGGCAGGAAGGGGGTAAAAGTGCCCTGTAGGCAAGTGGTTAATGCTGAGCACCAAGCGCAGTTTTTCTACCATTTACTTATCTCAATTCCACAGTTGATGCACCTGCAGGATAGGCAGAGCCTGGTGGAGAACTCTATGAGATTAGTCCCCCATCTGGTCCACCTTGCATGTGATTGACAGTTGATGGCAGTTGACACATTTGATAGCCACTACTGGACTGAACAGCTGTCTGGTGTCGATCAAGAGCAAGGCAGACCTGAAGGGGAACTAGACTCTCAGATTTCCCTACTGTCAGTGTGCCCTTATGTTAGTGGTTGATAGCGCCCTGGTGGCCTGCTTCCTAGTAACCAATGAACCTGATAAACAAAACAAGGTTAAAGTTACTCACAGTGCCTTACCCAAGTACCCACTAACAGCATTCTCAGTACCCACAGAATCTTCAATACTCACAGTGTCCAGCAGTACAGTTACTCACTCTACTCCAGCTTCTCCAACATCTCTTCTCCCAGTTAACCACACACCTGTACCCTGGCAGCCCAGCGATCCCATTCCTTCTCCTGGCTTCCCCTTTGCAGCTCCAATCACATGGACAGCCATTCAGATCCCTGCATTTGCCTTTCTACTACTCCAGGCTTTTGTTCAGCTGTTTCCGCTTCTGCCGCTCAGCTCACAGTGTTCAGCTGCTTTCAGCATCCAGTATCCCCGCTTTTAGCGTTCAGCGTCCCACTATCAGTGTCCAGTTTCCTGCTTACAGCTGCTCACAGCCACAATTTAAAATCAGAACACCTCCCTCTGCCCCCATAACTCTGGCCTGTCTCTGTTTGTTCTCTAAGTTTTAGTTGGTCTCAGTTACCTCCATTGTCGTTATCTATGATATAGAGAGGTGTTTTTCAACCTTTTGTCAGTCAAGGCACACTTTAAAATTTTGCATAATCTCAAGGCACCCTTTAGAATTCTGCACAATCTCATGGCACCCCATTTCTAAAACATAAAGAACTAAATGAATAGTTTTAGATAATGCAGCAGCATCCAAACACATAGGACACCCAGCATTAGAGGTGATTTATTCTTACAAAGCAAGGTACTGACTAGTATGCCACCATATACAGTTTCTTGGAAAACTTTGTTTGATAAGCATAAGCATGGCCAACTGCTGCAAAAGTGACTGCAGAGCTCAATCTCAGTCCCGTGAAGACTGTATATGCCATCATAACCTTTGATACTGTACCTCACTACATGGCAAAAAAATTGGCAACTTCAGTCACACCAACAATTTGCCCTCTTTAGAGCTCAGTAAGCTCTGGCATGACTCTATATTACTAGCAGCGCACGCAGTGAATGACGAAACTGAGGCTTCCCACCTGTTAGTTAGGTGTCTCATCACACAGCATAAACAAAAGAATGTTACGTCACTTCCACTTTCAACGTGAAACATCATCACTTTCACGCCTGCAAATCATGTAGTGTTTTCATTTTTTGTCTAACCTCTGTATCTACTGCCAGTGTGTGCAACTGCTAGTTGTCACACATCTCTGGTCACCACTAATGATCGGGTGCCAACCAGTGTGTTTGCCTATTTTGTGAATACTATGGGAACTATGACATACGGATCTCATGCAGGCTGGAGGTAAATTCACAAAAAATAATTTTCTGCCTGCAGATTGCATTGCCATGTAAAGACAGCAGTGTGTTTTTGTTTGATACTATAATGGTCAGACACAGTTACAGCATTAAAAAGAAGTTCTACATTTTTGTCTACTTGTCAATCCATAATAGCAACCAGGGGCGAACTGACCATTTGACCACTCGGGCACTGCCTGAGGGCCCTGGGTCAGTAGGGGGCCCTATGAGATGCCCATGGTACCTTTTTATAGGCTTTTTTGGGTGTGGGCGAGGACACGGGGGCCCCATGATCCCCTATTGCCCAGGGGCCCCATGAGTTGTCAGTCTGCCCTTGATAGCAACACAGCAGACTCTTTTTTATTTAAACAAGTTTGCCCAGTAAAAACCTTATACATCTTTAAAAAAAATATTAAACAACTGAGTTTGTCAAATTAGTCATAAAGTTACAAACAAGCTAACTGACGTTAATTTCAACTTGAGCAGCTAGGCTTCAATGACTTTCGGTCACAAGGGGGTTAAATAGCTTTTTAGTTAGGTTGTGTGTGATTGGAAATATGCATTTGAAAGGAAATTAGAAATAAGAGGTACTGATAAAAAATTTCAGGAGCACAAAAAGCTCTGAAACTGATTTAACAGCAAATGTGCCATAGACATAATGTAAAAATAAGAATAGTATTACAGTTTATAAGGTTTCATTTTCTTTCACATGCAAGGCTAGGTTTAAAAAAAGCTGTGGTTGATAACAAAATGAAACACGTGCAGCTGACAATTTAAAGAATGGTTTCTTAGACGCTTTCCATTAACTGTAATAAAGTAATATATCTGTTTTCATTATCCAAGAGTTTCCTGAGTCAGTCCTAATCAAAACATTACAAATAGATTCCAAAAATAGAAGACGCTGACACCTCTACAGCTGAATTTAAAACAGACTCTCGGTTCTTGGTGTGTGCACTACTAACATAAAATGTGGGAGTTGAAAGTAAAAGGTTTTTGGAGATAGCTCTGAGTGCGGGTGCACATATATGCGGATTGGATGCGGTTTGAACCGTATCCAATCCGCATACCATGTGAAATAACATTGCTTCCTATGGTGCCTGTTCACATATGTCTTGTGCACTGCCAGTGCGGATTCAGTGCGGTTTAAAAAAAGAGTCCTGTACAATTTCAGAGCAGTGCGGTCCAGTTCAGGTATAGATTACAGGCTACTGACTTCTATGGGAACCGTTTATAAACCTGCCATGTGTGAACAGGAGAAGATCCTGAGCTAATCCTCTCCTGAACCTGATGTAAACTTGACCTAAACAGCTACTGTGTCAATTAGCTGTGAAACCTGAGCTTCAATCTGCACCACACATGTGTGAATCAGCACTTTGTGGTATGGATTGAAGCTCAGGTTTCACAACTAAATGATACAGAAGTTGTTCACCAATTCATGTCAGATTTACATCCAGTTCAGGACAGGATTAGCTCAGGATATTATCCTGTTCACACATATGCAGTTTAGAAATGGTTCCTGTAGAAGTCAATAGCCTGTATTCCGCACCTGAACTGGACCGCACTGATCAGGAATCATACAGGACTCTTTTTCAAACTGCACTGAATCCGCATTCAATCTGCACTGCCAGTGCACCGAACATATGTGAACAGGCATCATAGGAAGCAATGTTTTTTTCACGTCATGTGGATTGGATGCGGTTCAAACTGCATCCAATCTGCATATATGTGAACCGGCACTTACATCACCATTTACTATGTCATTATGCTAGGTATGTGAGAAGTACATATGTGCCTTAAAGCATAGACCTTCATCCATTTGCAAAACACTTCCCCACCTCCCCCTTCTTGTTTACACAATTGAAGATTTTTTTTAAAAACTGTAAATACGTTTTTTTTAACATCATTGCTTCCTGAATCCTAGTCTAGGTGAGGACGATGTATACTGGCACTGCTGCCTTCTGGGATGTCTACTTCACACATCCTGGGAGGCAGTGTGCCAGATTTCTGCTTGTGCCTACATGTACAGACACCTGCTAGGCAGGGCCCTGAGGCATATCTCTGCATGCGCAGGGGGATCCAAGTGTATGTGCAGACACTCTGTGGATCTCTACCTATTCTATGGGACCTGGAAAGGGAGGAAGGCGCATCTGTGTCCAAAGAATTGCAAGTTTGTAGGTAAGTTTAAAAGGCATTTATTGAAAGTAGTGACATGTACATAAGCCAATATGTTTCAGGGGAACAGACTCCACCTTCTACAAGGCTGTTGCTGCATGCTATTAAATGCAAACGGTTCCTAAACTGGATAGATTATTTGCAAGATGTCAGGGGGCAGGCTGACAGAGTGACAGCTGTGGTTGCAAATAACATGCTTGCAGAAAAGCATGCAGCAACAGTCCTGAAGAAGGGGCAGTCTTTTTGCCCCAAAATGCAATGGCTTGATGTACATGCGGCTACTTTCAATAAACGTCTTTTAAATCTACTTGAAAACTTGCAATTCTTTGGACACCAGCCTCTCCTTCCTCCTTTCCCAAGTCTACATGCAGAAACAATCATAAGGCCATATCCAAAAGGCAGTAGCCCAAGCCCCAAGAGAATTTACCGCTACCATCCACCATTGAGCACAACCTACTGGAAGGGATCTCTTCCTACTTACCCACACAATTACGTACTCACAACCAGTGGCTGATCCAATCAGTCCAGCATGGTCTCTAGCACAAACAAGTTCTATGGGACCTGGCAGAGACCAGTGGCATGTCTGCACATTAGCAGGATTTCCTTTCATGATGGCAGCATCAGGAGCAAGGTGAAGCAGGGGGAACTTCACCTGCAAGAAGTCAGCGCTGAACTGGTAAGTATGTTTTTATTATTTTAACACAAAGACAATTTATAGGGATTTAGTACTTTATTTAGGATGCCTAAATTGGAGTTCCTCTAGATGTTTGTTATAGGAAACCTGAAATAACAGAAATTTGTCAGTATTGCATGGAATTGCTGAAAATTCCTTATGAAGGGGGCTTGGTTAGTCAAGCTGTTACAGCACTTAAGAGAGCAATTCCACATGAGTGAAAGCAGTTGGTGAACTACTAAGGTGTTCCAGAAACTGTGCTAAAAAAGTTAAATTAACTGATCTTAATCTGAATTCTGTTTAGTTGTCATGTGGCTCCAATTGAAGAGCAACAGCAGAGAAACCAAGTGGTCCA